CTTCCGATCTAAAATTCAAAATTTCCTACCAACGAAAAAGTATTAGGTGTGTCCCGCGCGCTCATATGACCTTATGCAGTTGCGAGCGCCGTAAAACCCTATACTAAACAAACAAACAAACAAGGCTACTGTAAATTTACATTTTTGGGGCCTTTAATCAATGTTTTTCGGTAAAAGTTAACAGCAATGTGTTTTTTAATACACATAAAGGTGTTGACACAAATTCGAAAAAAAATTGCGAGATGGAAAGAAAAATGCCGTTTTCTTCGATTTCATTACTTTGACGAGCGCATGATTTCACCACGACACCTCACATTTGTGTTAATGACTCGCCCAGCTCTTCTTTGAAAGGGGGGGGGGGGGGGGTTAAATTGACGATTTTCGGTCAGTTTATGGTATCCGGACTTTTTACGAATTATAATACTCCAATCACTTGTAAATCTAAAAAGTGCTTACTCTTTGTGTTACAATCATCATCTTTCAGATCTTCTGTCCTAGAACTTTCATTTCGCCTATTATGTGACAGAATGTCGGGGTTTTTTTTTTCACAAAACCTCCATTTTAAAAGTTTTTCTCTCATCTACTTTTTTATTTTATTTTTGATTCCAATGAAATTTTCAGGGCTTGTTAATATTGTTATTCATACAATAATCTAACTTTATGCAGATGGAAAATAAAATCGATGAGTTCATGAGTGAGTTACAAGGATGAATGTAATCGAATTCAGAGGCATATGGGGGTAGGTCAGTTATCTATCTCTAACATTTTTCCTATTCAAGATATCCAAGATCCCAACGGTATGAAATTTTGTATTGAGTATATTTGTCCATGTAAATTGATTGATAAATAAAAAATCCTTTTTTCTTTTATGAAAGCAGTTTATTTTCAACATGGCGGCCGTTACCATGGCAACTGTAGACTTAAACAAAAAAATTAAAGTTACATTTTACACATGTTTTACTGTTAGACCCCCTTGCTATAAGGCTTTATCTGAAAAGGCCATAGTTACCGAGATAGGTTTATAAACCAGCCCCCC